AATGCCTTCTTCCTCTTTCCTTGGTTATTCCCTGATGGCAAATTTTTTTACGCGTGCCAGGGGGGTTATACAAACTCCCTCACATGCACATGGAGTGTAGCTCCGTGTATGTACAATACCTATGCATGTCCTATGGGCACAGATATGTGCTTATGAACGGATGTAACTTATGTACTAATAAACGTATGTACTTATCTACTTATGCACGTAGACTTGTGTGATAACGTTTCCCCCTTCCGCGCCGCTCCCCTAACCGCTCTCTACATGGTTCACAAGGGTGCCATACTCTATTTTTCTCCTTCGAAAAATGGATTACCCCCTTTGGCAAAAAGGATGTTTCCTCTTTTGAGACTTCTCCCCCCCACTTTGCGGAACGCACATAGAATAGACTGCCACACAGCGCACCCGCAAAAGTGAAGAAGGCAAGAATAACATCTTTCTCCCCTCCCTTATGTGTATGCACACTTCCTGGGGGTACATAACCAATTGCATTCTCCGTTGAGTGTACGCACTCATGTGTTCCGCCATTTGTGCATTTAAGTATTTACCCGGATGTACCGCCATACATGGCATGCCCAGGGACATCCCCTCGTTATAGTTCTCCACGATGCGTTGCCCGGACATTATTTTGCACATTTCGCACACATCGGTCGTCTAAAAAGAGCCAACACGCAACTGAACATCCTAATCGGGGAGCAGCATCCATCCGTACATATGTGCCTGTATCACATCCTCCCGCGTACTGCCGCCTAATCCCGCCTAGGGGTTGGAAAAGATACCATGAGGCCCCTAAAAACGGCCAACATGTTCGGTGCAAATGGCACTAAATGAACGGGGGGCGTAAAGAAAAAAAAAAATCTTTGTTAAAAAATGGCCTCCATTTGTGTTGCCCCTTATGGTCGCTCATCAACCGTGAAGCCTACAATCTCTCCCCGGTGAACACGAAGCAGAAGGACACAACATGATGGATGTTTCCCTTCGTGTGTACACTTCGTAGAGAAAGCTGTGAATATTAAGCTCTTATGTGTATTATGTGTCCCAACGGGGGAAATAAAAATTCCTAGGTGAAGGAGACAGCACAGGCCTGAGAAAGCGAGAAAAATAAAACGTTAATGTGAAAAAAAAAAAAAAAAAAAAGACGCCACCGTGACTTGAACGAAACCGTAGGGGAAATCACAACCGTTGCGCACGTTTCTCGGTACGCCGCTAATCCAAACAAGTGTGCCAAAATTGGCAATAGACCCAAATGGCCGTCGCAAAAGTCATTCGCTGCAACGCCCCCAGCAGGAAGCCGACAAAATATCTCCAACTTGTGCTGCGCCCTGAGGAGGAAGAAGCGCCATGTCAACCTTTTTCCCATTTTTTGCGTTTAAATAGGCACCTCTCGCCAGTGCTTGCCTTTTTGTGATGTGTCTGCCCAACTGCGGAAACGTCGCCCCAGACTCATCCCAACCATTTCGCACTTGTAATTTTATCATTTAAGCTTTTTTTTTTTTTTTTATTTTTTCAAAAGTTATCTAATTTGAAAACAAACTCATCGGAATTTAAAAATTGTAGAGTGGGGGAATAAACATCAAAAGGTGGAAAAATAAAGGCGGCAAAGGACGTCCTCACTGTTAGGCACGCAAAAATAAAACAGTGGTTACTTCACATTGGTATACGTAAGCGAGATACCTATGCCAAACAAAAAAAAAAAGAAAAAAAAAACGTCACGTAGGGATGTGCGCACAAATGAAGGGTAGCATAACCATTTCAAACAAATTGTTGGAACTGGAAAGCTATCCTCATAGTGGTCATTGCCAGTGGGCGAACCCCTTCACAGAGAGAAGCAAAAAGAAGCAAAAAAAATAAAACCACACGATTGTTCAAAAGGTGACAATCGTTACTGCAATTTCTCCCTCCTGCTGTTGCCCTTTTTATTTTTATTCACCTTTGCAGGCACGTCAGCAACAACTTTATTTGCTGCGTGCCCCTCTTTCTGTATGTGTGCAAATAATTTATTTCGCGAGTCAAATGTTTCCCTGCACATTTTACACACGAGATTTTTTGTACTTTCTTTTATTTTACTTTTCCAGTTTGCTTTTCCGCTTATGTCCTTATTGTCTTCCTTCCGCTCCTCCAAATTTTTTTCTTCGTTTTCTTTCCTGTTAATAATAATGCCTTCTTTTTTTTTCTTCTTCTTTAGCAATTTTTTTTTTCGCTTGGAGGAGGCGTAGTCTTCGCTCGAGTCCGTTGCGTTTGCAACCTGCAAAGGGGTCTTCTCCTGCTGTGTAGGATCGTCCTGCGGGGGAGCCCCCTCCCGCTGCAAACTTTCTCTTCCATCCGACACGCCCTCTTCTCCCACTGCATGCACCAATTTGTTTCGATGCCGCTTCTTCCCTTTGTACCATGACAAGACGTCTTCCTCCAGGTGTGAAGAATCCGAGGCGGAGTTGATCCGCTCGGGTAGGTTCTTCACTGGTGGCGTGCTCTTTTTGTTTTTCTTTTTTTTCATTTTCGACTTTTGGGCGCACTTGTCTGGGCACCCATGCGAGTTGTCGCTTTGTGGGTTACTTGGGTTGTCTATCTGACCGTACATCTGATCGTCCAAGCGCTTACCCTCTGACTTGGCCCCTCCGGCGCTGAAGATGCTCCCCGTAGCATACCTCTTGGAGTGTTTCAAAAAGTTGCTCACGTGCTTCTTGGACTTCTCGTGCGAGTTGTACTGCTTCATGCTTTTAAAATTCTTCCTGCACACTTCGCACCTGTAAATGATTTCCCCGTACGGGGTGTCATTATTCTTGTCGTCTCCAGCATCTGCACCATCTTGACAATACAAGTCGTGGTTCCCTTGCCCCCTCCCATAGGCACGCCGCTGTTTCCCCTCATGGCCGCCTCTCTCATTGTCACCCTGTTGGCTGCAAGAGGAATAGCTGCATGGTTCTTCCTCCTCCGACGGCGCATTATCCCATTGTTCCTCCAGCTTCTCCTCATTCTGCTCAAACAGAATTTTCCTCTGAAGCATCTGCTCTCTACGCTGCTTCTCTTTCTCTTCGGCCCTTTTCCTCTTCTCCTCAGCAAGCTGCACAACCCTGTTAAGGTATCTGGTATCATGCTTCTTCACATGCTCCACCAGGGATCTCACATTTTCGTTAAACTCCTTCCTTTCCTTTAAGCTTCTCTTTTCTGCAACTTTTTTTAAATTCCGTCTAACATGTCTATTTTCTTGTTCATACATTTTCATATATTCATATGAGTAGTCAAATTTTTTAACTGTGGAAAAATTGGACCAATATGAATAAAATTCATCAATTTGTTTTCCTTCCGATTGGGAGTTCCCAAATGAGGGTGCATATACTTTGTTCTTCCTCTTCTCCGCCTCTTCCGCCGCCTCCCCCTCCTGCTGCTCTCCCTTTTTGCCGTAACGGTAACGCAGACTTAGCTCATCATTTTCTTCTTTTATTATTTGTTCAAATAATTTTCTGTACACATTATAGAAACTTCTTTCATCCTTGTCATTAAATCCTTCGTAACAGCTGCTGCTGAAATATTCCCAGATGTTTACACCTGAGGTAGCTACTCCTCTTCCGCTGCTTTGGCTACTTCCACAGCTTCCGGCACTTCCACTTCTTCTTCCCGCTTGCCTGTTTTGCTCCCTCCTTTCCGCACTTTCCTTTCCTGCAATGATTCGCACACGATTTTTGTCATACCATTTCCTCCTCCTCTCGTCCACCAAACATTCATATGCCTCCTGAATTTGACGAAATATACTTGTGCACTTCTTTTGTTCTTCCTCTGTCAAATGTGAATTCTTATCTGGGTGGTACTGAAGAATAATTTTACGGTAACTCTTTTTGATTTCCTCCACTGGCGCCGTGCTTTCAACGTTTAATATTTCGTAGTAGCATTTGCATTTTTCTATATCCATTCTGCTGCTTGGGGGTAGGCGTACTCATGTGGGGGGGAGGAGACGATAACAGGCATGGCGTAAGGAGTTGCTATGCCAAAAAGGGTAGCTATGCCAAACGGGGACTCCTTCGCCTTCTTTTCCTTATCCAGCCCCGCTTCTGAGATCTCCGATCCCGAGAAAGGCTTCCTGCTTAGCTTCTCCTACACCGTAGCACGTGTGCTGCACAGCTAATCCGCTTATATGCGGGACGGACAGGAAAAATACTCTCTCATGAGGAATGCAAACCTGACCACACGCGTTCGCTGCCTGCGTGCCTACCCAAAATGGCTGCAATTTTGTCACAAAAATGTTGCAAAAATATCGGTGAAGTGCCACAAAAAATGACAATCAATGGGCACGTGCTGGACGTCCACTCCTCCTCCGCCCGCGCTCAAACTGACATCACAGGAAGCAGCCCAGCTCCGCAGACGATTGTGTCCCTCACGCGGAGAATCCTCACATGATCATCGATCGAGTAGCAGAATAGGGAACCATTCACTTTGCCGCCCGTTCTCACGAATTCTTATAACAACAGGTATGCATAAGGGCGTTTTTTTTTTTTTTTTTTTTTTTAAATTCCCTCGTTAAATACCCCCTCGGCAATATTTCTCGTCCCGTTCGCTGCATCAACATGTTCCATTTCTGGAGCGCAGTCGATATATTTTTTTCGGCCACTCTTGGCGGGACCAAATCGTTTGCCACAGAAAGGAGCATGCTGGATGCCGATGCGCTTCTACTTCTACGTCTGTTTTTTTTCTTTTTTTTGCGAAATGGCAAAAGCCATCGATTGAATCGTCAAGTGGCGTAGGTTTCTTCTTTTTTTCTGCATGCCCTTTTTTTGCTAATACCCTCATATGCTGCTGCTATCGTTGCTTTCTTTCCCGCCCAACTCGCTCTCGGTTAGTATGTGACTCAGAGGGAGAGGGCGGAAGCCAGCTCCTTTTGAATTGGCGTTAATCCTCCACAGTCCCCACCTGTTTGAAAAAGTTGGAAGAAGAAAAATGATGGAGTTACAAAAAATTAAACAAACTTCACCGTAAACGGAAAAAAAAAAAAAAAAAAAAAAAAATGCATATATCTACATAGACGTATACATCTATATCTATATGTGTATCCTTTTTATGGGAAAACAAAAGCGCATGCAACGGTCAAAACAAAATGTCTACAAACGGAGTAGGCACTTCGGCTTAAGCATCTCCGTGATCCGCTTATTTGAAAATGTGTCTACCGGGGAAAACTATACTTACCGCCTCCCTCTCATCAGACCAGCAAATCCCTGTTGGCCAGCGCGCGGTCTATCACGGAGGAGGCAGGCCAACCGGACGAGCCAATAAAATCCTGCGCCACAATGGCGTAAAACTTTTTCTGAAAAGCAACCAGAGAACTGTTCCGCTTCATGGACAAGTCGGCAGTCGATGTATTCATGATCACCCGCATCTCCGCCAACAAGTAGCTGAAAACGGAGCCCGCATAATAGCAGGAAAAATGATACGGGAAGCTTGTCGAGTGTATGGAATAACTCGACCCAATTTTGTACGGAAGGTAACTTCCAATGAGGTTGTAAAAAGGGACCAACGAGTCATCCTCATATGAATGGTCACATGCATGGCCATATGCATGATCATCCACCACTTCAGCACGATTATCCAAACGGTTGGAGAAAAACTCCTGAGGGTTTAAATCATGGATCTCGTAGTCTATCACTGCATGCGTGTAGATGGTTGCCAGCCGAGAAGAGTCAAATTTAATGGACTTAAATATATCTTCATTTATTTTGGAATTATTATCTGCCTTATTTGATAAAGCGTGTAACACACTGAAGTTATTCGCTAGGTGTTCAGTCATGTGAGAAAAAAACTCCGCATAATCCAATGGCATCTTCGAAAACTGATATAGACCATACCTCCTTGATAATAATAACAAATGATAAGCATGTCCAAATTCATGAAACAGGGTTAGAATTTCGGAACAGCTGAACAGTTTTTTTTCTATTGGTATAGTCCCCATGAATTTATAATCCACCACTACATGCCCTGTGGATATCAGGCAGGTGTTGGATAGACACTTCATTGAGGGGACTCGAAAATAATCCCTAATTGTTATTTCTATGTAGGGTATTATGTACATATAGCCTAGCAGACTATCACCGGAGGGGACTTCCCTTCTTGGACTCTCTCCCACTGGACTTCTTACTAGCGATTCGTTTGAATGCGTATTGGCCCCGCTGCAATGGTTAGCACTCCTCCGCTCAATCCGATAGACGAGACTCCCCTTGGGCCACTTCTTCGTGACACCCTTATCCCGCACCTCCTCATAGGAGAAGTTATAAATCCGCGAAACTATTTCGATGAAATTCTTCCAGACATGCCCGTGAGGGAAGAAGGTATTCACAAAATATTCGTCTGACTTGTTCACACTTTTGTTGTAGTAGTAGCTCCAGTCGTGCATGGCGGGTTTATCACGAACAGGGGGGAGTTTATCACGTCGCAATTCGCGTCTGTCGTGGTGCAGGCCATATCGATCGCTCGGATGACTGACCTCCCCAACGGACGAACTGAGGAACTTCCCCATGTTAACGCTCACACGCGCATAATCCCTATCCACCTTCCCCTTGACTAAATTAAAGAAGTCTCTTAATTTTTCGTATTTCCCTTTCTCACTTGTGAAATGAGACATGGAATAATCTACCCAGTTTCTATACCCAAGCTTCGTCGCTACATCGTACCTCTTCCTCAGAATTTTTATTACGTCTCTATTTAGGCCTTTATTTTCGTAAGGGCTGTTAAGAAGAGTCAACACCTTTTCCCTTAACGCCGGTTCTGTAACTCCGTTTAAGATAAATTCATAGTTGTGCTTACTTATCGGTATTTTTAGCTTCCTTCTGTTAAATGCGCACTGGTGTTTCTGCTTCCATTCTTCGTCTATCTTTATTTGGTTCCTGTCTATTGTTAGGTATCTGCAAGTGGGTAGGGGGAAAGTGGCAGGATCATGATGATGATGAGAAAATGCCAAAATGGGGAGAACTTAAGCGTTATAGGGGACCCTCACAAAGGAGCATCCTCACATATACAGCGCCACACTCACCTTATCTTAACGCTGTTGATTTTCTTCAAATACGCGACGCAGTCTCTCCCCAGCTCCGCCACCAAGTGGCTAACCGATTTCTCATTTTTTATGTGGATGCTATACGGAATGTATTTCTCATCCGCGCTTTCTACCCCCGTGATTTGTAGACTCGTGGCAATTCTTTGCTCCACATATTCAAGAACTTTTCTGTGCAAAAAAGTGATCTTCTTCAACTTTGCACATGTGATTAGAAAGTAATACAAATTTAAGCAGCTATGCAGAGTGCTGTGGCTTCTTTTCTTGTCACACCCCGATACGAATGCATTTCGCGCATTGATCAGCCTTTCAATTTCTTTCGATAGGTAAAATAAATTTATGCATGTTTTGTCTATAGGATAGTTGATCAGCTTGGAACTCTTTACGTGCTCCACAATTTCGTCATGCAGTTTTCTTTTTTCCGCCCCACATAACATAGGCGATATTTTCGAAAAAAGGAGAAAAATGCATTTATTTATAATGAACTTCCTTCTTCCTGAGTTCATCTTCAGGGGGGCTGCTCGATTTTTTTCTTTTTTCCCTTTCACTTCGGTTAACTTGCTGCGTTTTTGTTAGCGTTGGCTCCTAGCGAATTTTCGCAGAACTGGTTTCGTTCCATTCGTTCTTAACGTCAAAGTTGGCATAAAGGATTCGGCCCCCTTCTTCATGCCAGTAAAAAGTTGTTGCATGAAGTTTCCAAAAAGAGCGACACAGTGGTAAATAGAACTTTTTTTTTTTTTGCAAACTGGCTAGCTAAAAAAAAAAAAGTTCCTCCAAAATGGCTACCCATTCTGAGGAAAAAACTTTTTTTTTTTTCATTATGGCCCCTTCCTCACCCAGGTGAAACCCAAAGCGTGAACGATTCTTTTTCGTCCATCGAGAAATACCACTATGGAAAAGCTTCCCCTGTGAAGTGCGACTATGTCCACAGATATGGCGATACATTCATCAGGTAAATCCAATTCGCATAGAACTTTCTACCGCAATATTTCAAAAGATCGAAATGAATCAACCCCGGAGCTGTCTGCAAGGGCGGTAGGCCATACGGTCCACTGGGGGCACCCTCTTGTGTTTACATGTAAGCATTGAATTTTTCTTCCTTTGGCAGGGACAAAAGGTGCCATTTATTTTGTAAATCATCGTGGTGCGCTAAGCTCACTTGTTTGGCCTACCCTCGGGTAAGTACGCATGTGCATGGCGGATCATTCCACCCCCGCACACATCCTACAAAGTGTTACATCGACAGAGAAAAGAAAGCAGAACAAAAAAAACGGAGAGACTGTTTCCCATAAGAACCGTAAAAAGATATATTTCCTAACAAAAGAGAACCCCTTGGGGTGGGAATTTTATTTTTCCATAATGGCGCTTCACACACTAGCGTCGAAATAAATGCACAAAAATTGCCAACGTGTGTGACGCCCGCATGCCCGTCTATTATTGTTATGAAAATGTCTGCCCCACGAAAGAAACCCATTCGCTGCAGGCACAGGTTCCATCCCGCATGTGCACTTATATACGGGGAAACCTATTTCTGCCGCAATCACTTTAATACAGCCCGCTCTGCACATTGATCGAGTTGTCACCAATGGCTTCCTTTCAGCTGAGTAACGTTTAATACGAGGTGGCTAAAAAGGAAGTATGAAAAAGATAAACATGCGTACCGGAAACGCTTGTCATGTTCTCCAAAAAAGGAAAGTTCCTTCTTGAGAGGCAAAGAAAGACGTTATAACTTTGCAAATCCGTTTCGAACAACACAGTCGTGTGCCACCTTATCTGTTCATTTGCACCATGTCGTGTGTATTACTTTTTTTTTTTTTTTTTGGAGGGAAAGAGGCTTCGTACTTGCACCATAGCATCTGAAACGTTAGGTGGCTCTCCTTCCCGCGTATCTCACTTTTTTTTCCAAAAAAAAATAAATGAACCGGTCTGACCGTTAGTCTATTTGGTCTAACCGCATGTGCGTGATTTTTGCTCCACGTCCCGCAACTTTTTCGAATGGCCATTTTATCCCTACTACCGTTTTTTTTTTTTCTGGAAACTTCCTTCGACGCGACGAACTGAGGGATTTCCTAAGTTGGCCAATTTCCATCGCGCAGAGCAGAACAAAATTGTTAACAACCGGGGGGACATCTATTCCGTTTTGTTCTAAGATTGCACATGGTTGCATAATTTTTTCCTTCCCGTTTGTGCATTGAAAAACTAGAAAGTCAGACATGTCTAAAGTTAAAAAAAAATTTTCTTTTAGACAATATATTTTTTTTAAATAAAATATTCTTTTAAATGAAATATTTTTTCAAATGAAATATTTTTTTAAGTGAAATATCTTTTTCAAATGTAACAGATTTTTCCCCGTGCGATAATTAATGCAGTTTTAACTTTGTTGCTTCAAAATAGCGTCTTTTAATGTAGAAAATGGCAAAAAAAAAATGTGCGCATGAGTGGAGGGGTGTGCACGCATAACAAGTGCATATAATATACACATGCGTACATGCACCTACTTGTGCACCTGGTCATATGCGTACAACACCAGCAACCCGTTTGTGCACAGTTCGAGTGAGGAAAAGTAACCAGGGGGTGGGGAGAATTACCGAAGAAAAGGAACTAAGGGCGGCAACTACGCCAAAAGTGAAAGATGTCTTCGAACATGTGAAATGAAAAAAAAAAAGGAAAAAAAAGAAAAAAAAGAAAAAAAAGAAATGCAAAATAGTGTAATTTTATTTCTCGCCATTCTTACGATGCGGAAAAAGGACACATTCGTCTGAAAAAACTGACGGCAGTGACGAGAAAATCGAGTGGCAACAAACGGACAGCTATATTGCAAAAAAAGTGTGACACTGGAGGAAGTGGGGGGCGGCGGACGCAGAGGAGGCATCACACCCGTAGCAGACGCAGCAAACGTGCAGACGTACAGACGCGCAAACGCTGGCAACATTGCCAACACTGTCAACTCCGCACCCCAGATGGCCTCTTAAACGCATTAAGGCAACAAACGAAACGCAGAACAGAACGAAGCAGAATATAACCTAGAAGAACACAGCGGAACACCGCCATCATTACAAGATGGTCTGCGGACAGATGCATACACTCCGTCATTTTATTCTGTCTACGCAATCTGAGTTGGAGAAATGACGTTGTTATAATACCTTTCCTAGTATTTAAAGTTTTTTTTTTGTTTTTTTTTTTTATTTTTTTGTTTTTTCTTTTGTTCATAGTGTCAATGCTGTGTAGTTCTCCTACGCTCGCATCATCACTGCGCCGCTACAGACGAGCTGCCTCCTTTTGTGAGCATTCAATACAAACAGACTACGTTTTGATGAGACCATTTTGAATCATCAAAGGGGAATAAGACACCAAGTAGAGTCATTTGGCACATTCTCTCGCCTGAACCTCTTTTTTTTTTTTTTTTTACAAAACGGTTCTCTAAATTCGTCATTCTTAGAGGCACAATCATAGGACGCTATAGAGTCACGCCAGATTAGTGCACTACGCTCCATTGCACCGAGTTACGTTTTATCATACTTTTCTCTTCCTGTCCAAAGAGCGGGGCACGCAGAGGGAGATTAGCTAAGCGGTGGTACCGTGCTGCAACAAATGATCGTGACGATTAAGTGATGTAACAAATGAGCGTGACGATTACGTGATGCAACACAGGAGCGTGACGATTAAGTGATGCAACCAAATCGACGTGCCGATTCCGAAACCCCACAAGTGAAAAAAGGGGGTGACGGAAACATATCCCCCCTGCACCCAAGCATACCGACAAAGAAGTATATCCCACACCTCTCCTGACTCATTCGCCCCCCTCCCCCCCCAAAAAAAAAAAACATGAATGAGAACAACGAGCAGCTACTACTATTCTATGATGCGTATAAAGACAACAGAAACAAATGGGGAATCCGATTAAACAAATTAAACATCCATATAGACGACTACAAAACAAGCAGAACCAAATTATTTCTATATGTATTATGGAACGTCCTCATTTTTATATATATGCTTGAGTTTTTCGTGAACTTATTTTTTCTTCTTTCTACGTCACATGGTAATCTGGTGAGCAACAGTATTCTTTCCTTTTCTCTCCTGGATTCCATTTTAGTTATCCTTTTGACAAGCCAAGCAGTACATGCTTACTCGAATGACAAATCGATAGAACTACACAAGTGCGCCAGATATTTCCATGTCTTGAGCATTTGGTGCTCCCTCAAATTGCTACTTTATGTCTTTGTCGCCATTCTGTCTTTTGCCCTCCTTCCCAGTGAGAATCTCAATCGCCTTTTTTACTTTTATGGCACCAAGGGGGTTTCGTTTAACTACTTTATAGAGATAGTCATAACGGTGAATGTGATAAAGTCTGTGTTAACTTTCTTCACAGGTAAGCGGATTGGCGGCGTGGGATCCCTCTGTGCAGTTGGGCCTCATGAGTTTGACGCTGTGTTGTTGCTCCTCCTCAGTTTGACGCCTGGATGCTGGGCCTTCCCAATTTCACACTGCTCAATTGCACTCCCTCCCCCGCAGGACAAAAAATCCAATACATCTTCAGCTGCATCAGGACGTCTACCATCCTAAAGAGCAAAATTCGCAAAGACCTCGAAAAACAGTCCTTCCTATTTGAAGACCACACCTACGGGACATTCATGACTGACGTGCGAGAGTGAACGATGTTGTCCCCTAGTGATTCAGCCCACTGGCAAGAAGATACCGCTTGACCATCTCAACATTGTTGATTTGTTGCTTCCCATTTGTGCGGTGCATAATTTTTTTTTTTTTCCTTTTTTTATACTTTTGCTGTCTCTCACCCCTTTCATCGTTCATGGAGGGTCTCACCGTTTTGTTCGTTCCACTTGATGGGTGAAATTGAGTTGTCGATGCTTCGCATACACGTGGGCAGGGGCACACATGCCCATGTTTGTATGCCCCTTTCACCGGCTCAACTGCCCACACTTTTTCTGCGCCCCTTAGATTTTACGTTTTATAATTTGAATACAAGTTGCTAATTTTTCCCTCTCTCCGGGTATACATATGCCTTTTCCCCCTTTCTGTACATTTCTGGGGGCAACGCTTTATACGACACGTTTCTGCATGCCCTTTATTAACTCCCGCTTGTTCGCATAACGTTTGGGCCCACTGCTCACAGCGCTTCTCCTTCATTTTTAGTTTTTGGCTTCTTATAAAAAGTTGCCCAATTTTTTTATTCAAATTTGTTTCCCCAATTTTAAAATGCCGCTTTTGGATGAAGGCCTATTCACCGTAAGTGAATGTTTGGCCGTGGCAGGGAGAGGGCGACGGGTCACACTTCGTCATCCCTCCTGCAGGGGAACGCCCTAATGGAAGCCCCCGCCGTGGCGCGTTCCCTCGTGAAAGGGGTGTGTTATACTGTATCTTCGCCGTTCCGGGGAGCACAGTGTCCATCCAAAAATTGAACTAAAATGAATTAAGACGAAATAAAATGAATTAAAACGAAATAAAATGAATTAAGACGAAATAAAATGAATTAAAACGAAATAAAATGAATTAAAACGAAATAAAATGAATGAAAACGAAATAAAATAAATGAGAACGAAATAAAATAAATGAGAACGAAAAAAAATGAAATAAATACGCATGTACCTATGTGTGTAAAGAAACAGAATGAGTCAACCCCCCTTACCCCCCAAATGGCAGCCACGTGGAGGAGAGTCTTCCTCAGTTAGTTCGATTTACCAGCGGTTATATCTGTATCTACCAAACCGAAGGGTACATTATATCCCACTCCCCTGCTACCCATTTTTTTGGGGGCACCAAGTGTTCGCAGAAGGATCCGGGGAAAAAGGCACCTTGCGCAAGGGGTCTCTCTCAATCCAGTGGGTAGACTTACCCACCACCTGTGCAAGCCAAAAACGTATGCCAAAATAAAAGATGGCGATGAGTTAGGAAGACCCCATCGCAGCCCTAGATGGAGTGAGCTAGGTTGTGAGCGAAGTAGTCAGCTAGGTAGTGACCTGCGCATCTTCACAATGTCGATTTACGCGCTGGCGCGTCTTCTCCTGCTTGTGATCCACGCCCATCTTCGCGGATCCCTTTCGGTCAAAGTGGCTCCACATGGAGGCGCAAAAATGAGTCCATCGATGGGCTGGAAACCCTCCAGTAGGATGCCCACCCCCCAGTACATAACGACCCGGATGAAGAAAACGCAGATACGGAACAGAGACCAAAAGAGTGACCTAAAGAGTGACGTAAAGATTGACCAAAAGCGTGTGAAACCGCCCCTGCGGAGCATAAAAGTACAAATGATTTTAGCGCCCAAAGGATCCATGCACGAGAAGAAGACAAAAGAGATTTTGGAAGATCCACTGAAAAACTACCCATGGGAAATAAGCATTCCCTTTCACGAAACGATTACAAAAGAACTCAGTCCATATTATAATTTCCTAAAATGTGAGTGGGCATATGTTGACCACAAAAAGGACGTAAGGAGACCATGCGGGAAAATCGAAGGAGGGATAGACAATTATGATGGAAAAGGATTAAAACTGGAAAAAGGTATAGACAGACCAAGGTATAATAAAATACCATACTATGATGACCATGGAGTTGAGTGGAGAAATATAAACCAAGACGAACTAATCCGATTTGACTTCCTTCCTGATGGTAATCAAGATCAAACTTTCCTTGAGACAGAAGAAGATTTAGAACATCGACAATGGGGGAATTGGAACTACAACGCGTCCAAAGAGACGACACAATTAAACACCGCTTGGAGAGATCCTGTGTTGTCTAGAAGTTTGACAAATTTAATTTACCCATGGAATCATAAGGCAGATGAGAATCATATTATTCCCTATGGCTATAGTACTCCCGCTTTGTTCATACCTGAACCCAAGATCGAATGGGAACTCGCGGCCAGGGGATTCTTCGCAGGGTATTATGAAGATCCCAATTGGTCACGCATAAAATATTATAAGCAGACGAAAAAACTAATTTTGCAGTGGCATGATGAAAGTAAGAAAGCAGATAGTGAGAAGGACATCCGAGTGATAGACAAAATCAAAATGGAACTTTTTGGATTATCCTCTAAAAGGAGGTACCCCTCCAAACAGATCAAACTGATTAATGAACATGCATTGTTAAGAGCCAAAGAAATTGTTCTCGATCATCTATTAAATCCGAGTGCGGATCCAGATTACATTACTTACTTCCTCGATAGACATGAACCCATAGATTACATCGGCGGGGGGAACCATAACTGTCCCGAGGAAGAAATTAAAGACAAAACGGTAGTACTTAACATGTGTGTTTACCCCGTCAAACAGAGACATGAAACGTACTCAACTAATATGTCCATCTCTGAAATGGCTGAAATGTACCATTACTACATGACGGAAATAAGAGGAGAAGGTAGGTCACATCAGTCAAGTGAAGATCCTGTACACGATAAGTACCAATGCTACGAGTTGCAAAAACAGAGGGACCAATTCCCTGCTCTGATATCCCTATATAAGCCTCTCTGGACCAATAAAAAATTCGGAGAGGAATTTGGGGATGCTCTCCAGGAGGGCCAAAAGATACGCATCGACCAACTGCGCACCTTTAACAGAAAACTCAGAGTTAAAAGGAGGACCAAACTGACCCCAGAACAGAGGGATGCCTACAACTACGTTGATGACTACAGCCATGTGGACGACCAGTACGAGTTTTAGGCTGCCAATCGGCTCTCCTCTGGGGTTATGCGTCACCTACGCGGCATCTACGCGAGAACTACGCACCATCTGTGTGTCACCTAGGCATCAATTCCTCACCCTTTTTACATCCCTTTTAAACCCTTCTATTTGTGCCATTTTAACATCCAGGAGGGGGACCCACCTGGGAACCCCCATCCGTTTGCGTAAAATTAGAACTTCCTTTTTAAAAACAACTTTATTTGGTACCTTCCGAGAGAAGGCTATTTATAGGAGAAGTGCCAGTATATGGGGATGGCGCTTCTCTCTACCCTCAAGAGGAGGGAGTCTCATCTGCGACGCACAAAAAAGATTATTTTGAGGAAATGGAAGACCAAGTGAAAGACAGAGGACACTGCAAAAGGGGTATTATCACCTCTTTTGGTGACATTACAAATGTAAGAGGCGAGAGGCGACAGCCGCGGGGAAGAAGAAAAAAAAAAAAAAAAAAAAATGTATACTTCATAAAATGACAATGAACCTGATTCTTCGCTGCTCAACTGGTGCAATAGTGCGATCGCGATGGGCAAGCCCTCCTCGCCCTGTCGGCACCCTCACTCGATGCACTGAAACGCCCCGAAGCTGCACGCGTAGGTGCAGAGCTTCTCCGTGTCGATTTCCTCCTGGAATATTGGGAGCCCCTTTTGAATGACGAAAATGAAGTTGCCTTTGAATTCGATCTCTTTCTCAATGGGGGCATAGTGGAGCTGCGAAAGGGGGATAAAGGAAATTAAGCGCGGGTGTAGTAAAGTACAAGAAAGACGGACTTCCAATATATTAAACGTGGAGAAACCGAGCAGGGAGATGCTCCCAATCGGAGCTCATAAGATGGGAAAAAAAAACACGCAACTCTCATAAAAGAGGTGTTACAAAAGAGACACATTAAAGGATGGAAAAAGACACGATAAATTCCTCATCATTTCTTAGCCACACACGCAATGTAGATAATTTTTTTTTCTTTTTCTCTTTTGCGACTCCACCGCCTGGCGTCCAGAATAACCCATTTTGAGGCAACGAAATGGGGATCCCTCCAAAAGGAGCTGCCCATTTTTTGTCGAGGCGATTTATACAAATGACCCGAAGAGAAAAACGCAATGAGCATCTGTCTTAGCACAACTGAGTTGGGTGAAGCCCCTTCTCGTAATGCCTTTGACTCCGCCGATACCTTCTTCTGTTTGGAATCAAAAAAAATGACATCCAATTTGGGGGGGGGCTGCGCATCGAAGGCTGGTAAGAAGTATAAAACACCGTTGAACTTTTTTTTTATCTTCATGAAGTTAATCACACATTCGTAATAAGGCTTTAAATCATTAACGTAGCTGCTCTGCATTATCTTCGCCACATCTTTGAGTAAAATCTGTTTCATGTTTCTTTCCACAAAATAAAAGTCTGGGATGGTACTTGAGAATATATAGGCTAATACTCCTCTCCCTTTTATTGCTTTCTTGGAATAATGTAATTCTAGTTGTCCGTTGTTTTCCTCAGTGTATATTAAATAGATTCCTTCTCTTAGTGGTACGGATGTTGATTTAACTTCCGGTGGGGGTCCTACACAGGCTGAGGCCTCAGGGGGGGGAGGAGCTGATGCTGCTCCAAGGAAACTAAACTTGGGTTTTTTCTTCTGCAGTAATTTAGGTTTTATATCTTTTAAGATTAAACGGGAACCTCGTTTTGTCTCTTCTTTTGGTTTTTCCAGATCTGCAACTTTTTTTTTCTCTTCCTCTGTCTTCCTCTCTGCGGCTGCTTCGATTAGACGCTTCATTACGTCTTCCTCCTCCAGCATACTCAGTCGTTCCCCCCTTGCCTGTTGTCTCTCTTCCTCCTCCTTCGGCTTTTTCTCCTGTTCCTTCTTCCTTTTCTCACGCTCTGCCTTTTCTCTGCCTCCTTCATCCTCCAAAATTAGTTCGTTCAGCATATCATCGTCATCATTGTTTCCACAACAGAAACATAGGAAGCACCCACCCCCTTCTCTCTTAATCTTTTCCCTCTTCGCAGCTTCCATTTTTTGTCTCACGATTACATCGTTTGAGGAATTCTTCTTTGTGTTTTTATTCCCCCTGGGGTGCTTATCTTTTTCGTGAGACCCCTTTCCTTGAGGCCCTTCTGCATGTCGCCTCGAAGGGAACGATTGCGTTGATTTGGTGGACTGCGAGGATTGATCGCTCCGTTTGGTGGGCTTGGTCTGCTTCATCGGTTTCGTCGGCGTTATCGTCTTGGTCGACATGTTCTGTTTGGTTTCGTTGCCCTTCCTGCTTTGTCCGCCCTGGCCGCTTCTCCCGCTTTGGTTGTGTTGCTTCATTGGAGCTGTCCGCTTGTCCTTCTCCTGCCGATGCGACGCGTTGGGTGGCCCCAAACGGCTTTCCCCCTTCTTGTGCGCCGCACCCGAATTTTTGGATGACCTCCTCATTTGGGGAAGTCCACTCTAGGTAGGGGTGTCGCACAAGAAGCGGGGAAAACTCCACGTCTAATCAGATGCAACTTTATGCCAATACTTCGAAAATATTCCTAACGGGAAAAAAAAAAAAAAAATCATTCCAAAGAAACGCCTATGTAGCTATAACAACGGACTTGCACTTCTGTATAGTTAGGTTACCTTTTAAGAAGAAAAAAAAAAAAAAAGAATCAGAATGTCTCACCAACACAGTAGATAAATTTCCCCCTTCCTTTCTGCAAAGAAGTAAAAATGTGTAGACTTGTATGGAAATTCTCACCGTGCATGAATGGCCAAGTAGTGATGCTCAAAATTGGACATGGAAAAAAAAGGGAAAAGGGGAAGAGGAAATAGGAAAAAACGAATTCCGCTGTGTGTACTTAGGCGATACTACACTTGTGGAGGCACCAAATGAAGGCTTCTATTAAAGAAACTCATAAATCGGAATATGGAAACTTAGCGTCGTCAACATCTGCTAAGTCGAAGCTGGAAAGAAGAGGGCATAACTGGGCACATTATCGCATTCTCACCATGCTACACTGCCGCACTGCCACGTGGACACAACGTTGGGATGCACAAAGTAGCGCGTACGCATAACGCGCTCGGAACGTGCCACCCAAAAGTGTTGTCTTTGCTGCGTTTAACATAGAATTAAAGAAAAAAAAAAAAAAAAACGGTGAACTATCAAAAATATGATAGTAACAAATGGAACGCATTTCCCCAGCAACTTGTTTAGGAAAAAAAAAAATATTTGCCCTTCCACAACATGTGCTCTGTCTTGCAATATAGAACTACATGCTGGACGAGGAGTCACATTCAAAAAACGTCCACAGCATGATGGATCCCCTTTTAGTGGGAAAGAACCTTATTAACCAAGTGATCGGATTACTCGTGTGTGGAACTGTCAGATCGGTATACCTCCTCACAGTGAGAAGCAGATGGCACATGCGCTTCGAAAGAAAATATGCGTTCCTCTTTGGAGGTGCACACTGGGATGGCAGCACCGCTTCAGCTATTCCACAACGGCGTCCCACTATGCTGCAAAGGGGTGGTCCCACTGAGGAGGATTTCTTTAAAGCAGTCTGAAAAGGGGGCAAAGTTGACACAGGGAAAGTAACGACCAACAGCCCCTCCACCCCCACGTCCTCCCGTTAGATACTCTATTCCTTAAGCTATTTACAAAAGGGAAGAAATAAATGCATGTTACGAGGAAGATGTGATTTTTTTTTTTCTTCTTTTCACGTGTACATACACACATTGGGAGGACGTCCTACGTCATACTCAGCGGAAGCAATTCTTATGAAACTGTGCGGAATTGTACACTGGACCATTTGTGATAAAAAAAAAGTTGCCGAGTTGACCCATTCATTTTGCAACAAGATCATCTTTATGTTAGAATATATAACAAAAAACAGGTTGCTCAATTAAGCAGGGACGGGAACGTCCACCTGAGTATCTTTCCAGATGACATCAGTTTGGAGTTATTTTTTTTCGTTCAGGGGTTGCCTAAATTGATCAGTTTATTCCCTCTCCTGTCTAATTAGCCCTTTCGAATTAGAAGTAGCAATTGGTACAGAATACTTCAGGCCAACTATGCTGCATATCTGTGCGCGGATCTGTTTACTACGGGCCAGGACACACTATTGGCAACCTTACATCCATTTTCTTTATTTTAAAGGGGTGAAAAAAAAAAGGTGGTGCATTTTGCGGTACATCCAAACGACTTTCCACATAGGGATTTGCATTTCCGCCTAAAATGCTCTCAATTATGATGCAGTAATAAAAAGGTTTATCACCCTTCTAATGGGTGCACTGTTCGCTTGCTTATGGACACCATCAGCAAAAAAAAAAAAAAAAAAAAAAAAAAAAAATTCAGCGGCATACCATCTGCTACGCCGTTATTTCGTCTTCCAGGTACATGTATTCAAAAGAGAACGCCTCCTTCAGTTGTTTGGACCAGGCTGCGGAGGGAGGGAGTGGATTACCAAACATAATCACGCGCATACAAACATGCACAGTTACGAATATACGGATGTACGAATAGGCACTCATACGGACTGATACAGACTCATAAACACTCATATACACACAACCCCCCTTGCAATCGCTCCACCGTGCAGACCGTACTCGACTCGTAGTCAAAAGACAGGTAGGTTCCTTGCTCCGTTTTGTCATTCAGCATGCGAGTGTTGTTATCGCACGGCAGAAACCAAGTTGTGTATTTCTTGTGATACTTCCAAGACTTCTTCTTCAGTTCTTTCGCCGCCAAGTGTTGCTGGTAGGTTCCCTAATAGGGGGAGGGGTAAGCATGCGCGCGGATAGCTATGCATACAGGCAGACACGCACGAAGGGAGAGGCACAGCCAGGTAGTCATACACATCATTGTCCCCATGCGACATCTCCCTTCTGGGGGGCACTCACCGGTTGGTAGTAAAATATAAAAAAGAGCGTGTCCAGGGGAAGTTTTTCGAAAAGCTGAGGGCTACGAGGGGAAGGGGTACATCGGCATAGACGTACAGGTATATACATATATATATATGTACGTTCCTGTTTTCACACATGAGCAGTGTACGAAGTGGAGCAGGGGATGGTCACTCGGGACAAACGATTGGATCCATGGAGGTGGACTTCTCCCTACTTCTACGCACCTTTGAAAATCGGAAAGAGGAGTTGATGGGAAATACTCGCACGGGTTGCCACACATTACCCGTGGGGTGTACTGGCGGAAATGATCTCTGTCACTTTTCTTTATACAATTTGTGTAGCTACTCTCGATGAGCTCCTGCAGTTTAAGCGCTGCGGAGGGGTGGGATGGAGGCGGGTGCAAGGAAAAGAGAGAATAAAGGAAAAAGCAAACAAAACGGTGTGCCAATCTGTGTGACAAAAATAAACGGTAGCGGGGGGAAGAAATCACCATGCACAATCGCAGGTGGCACTTTTTTGGGAAAATTTCAAAAGAGCGACGATCTTTTCTTCCTCCATGGGGAGGCCTCGTGAGGGCTGTTTTCCTCGTGCCCAATCCGCACCATGGTTTGTTTCCTTTTGGAATGACGACAACACCGAACAACGCTTCCCCCTCAGCTAAAGAAATCTCATGTGTCTATGCATAATCAAATGCATACTAGCAGAACTGCACAAATAACACAACGGTTAAACCTATTTGTGTGTTCCTTTTTTTTTTTTTTTTTTTTTCCTATGGCGCCATTACTGTTCCGCTCGAGTAGCCTCTGAGCCGACATAGACAACTTCTCATCGCTGACTTGTTTTCTCTTTCCATCCCCCTTCATCAAATTGGTCTCGCATTGGTCTTCCATCGTTTTTTCCATTGTGAATCTATTTGATGCCATGTCCAAGGGGAAATAATATTTTTCCCTTTTTCGATTACCCAAAAAAATTACCCAAAAATGGTGTCAAAGTTACCCCACCAAATGGTCTCAAAGTTGTGCAGAATGGACACTTACTAATTTACCCTTCTTCGTTGTGTACTATTGGGAAGTGCCCCTTTGGAAAGGAAAATCAAGTAACTCTCAATGGAGGCAACAAAAAAAAAGGGGAAAACGTGAAGAATTGACTTTGAGGGGGAAAAAAATTTATAAAAATGGGTCAAGTCACCTAAGGGATAATAAAAAAACTGTTTGGAAAATGCAAAATAAAGTAATCAGGTGGAAAAAAAACGGGGCACATTCTAACAAAATGAAACTTTTCCCCCGCCAGGAAAAGTGAAAAAAGAAAGAAAAACAAGTGTAGAAGGGACAAGTCAAAGCGGTTATATTGCGGAGATGTTACATAAGGCACGACAGACGGTACCTACACCGAATTAAACGCAGTGTGCACGGGAGTATCTGGAAGGAAGCAACAGAAAAAAAGGGCTAGGACAAGAACAGCGGCATCGGCATGGTCATACGTAGGGGTGGTGTAACCGTCAGACAAAATCGAAGTTACTCGAAAAAAAATGTGTAAAAAACGTTTTGAAGCACCCTCAGATATGTAATGCGGAAGGGAAAAAAAAGAAACAATAAATAAGAAAATGGTTGGTAAGAAACATGCGAGCACCACTA